GCCATGCTGCTGAGGGTCCCGCTGCCGCCTACAGGTCCTGCTCTTTCAGGCTCTTCTGGGGCACTGCTCCTGCCCCGCTGGCTTAGCTCTGTAAAGCTCCTTCCTTATTGTTCCTCACTGGTCTCTCCCCTGAGTCAGCCCACGCTGCCCCTTTTATCCCCCTCCAGGTGACCCAAGGGGTCAATCGGGACACAGGGGGGTGAGTCTCTGGGGCCTGATTGGTGTGGAAAGGGAATCCCAAGTCCTCCAATCATCTTTTACCCCTTCAAAACCCCTGCGCCAAATCATTGCCAGATTGGTGAGGAAAGGGAATCCCAAGTCCTCCAATCATCTTTTGCCCTTTCAAAACCCCTGGGCCAGGTCAGTGCCAGCCAGCCTGTCACACTTATAACCTTCCTTTATGTGATTTAGTTTACTGAAGAGTTCCCTGCTAAGCCAAGCTGGTCTTCTGCCATACTTGCTAGTCTTCTTATACATTGGGATGGTTTGTTCTTACACTCTCACTAAGGCTTCTTTGAAGTACACCCAGCTCTCCTGGACTCCTCTTCCCCTCAGTCTGGCTTCCCAGGGAATCCTGGCCATGAGTTCCCCGAGTGAGTTGAAGTCTGCTTTTCTGAAGTCCAGGGTCCGTACTCTGCTGCTCTCCATCCATTCTTTCCTCAGGATCCCGAACTCAATCATCTTGTGGTTACTGCTGCCCAAGTTGCAATCCACTACTACCTTCCCCACCAATTCCTCCCTGTTTGTGAGCAACAGGTGAAGAAAAGCATGGTCCCTAGTTGGCGGCTCCAGCACTTGCAATAGGAAGTTGCCCTCAATACTCTTCAAAAACTTCCTGGATTGCAGGCATGTTTCTGTATTGCACTCCCAGCAGATGTCAGGGTGATTGAAGTCCCCCATGAGTTTCCTGTGATCAGGAAACTTTCACTACTTGTTTGAAGCCTCATCCACCACTTCCTCCTGGTTTGGTGGTCTATAGCAGACCCCCCACCATGACATCATCCTTTTTTCTGTCCCCTCTGACCAGGAGCAATGCATAGGGGGTGCACACAGGTGCATGTGCACCCCCTGAGCATGGTGGTGCACCCCCTACAAAAAGGTGATACCAACACTATTGGCAGTGCCTGTGGGAGGTCACCACTCACCACCCCACTGCTGACACCACCAGTGGCATCTGCGGGTGGTCCGCAATCCCTGCTGGCCACCGCTGCCAGTGGCAGCTGCAGGTGGTCGCTGACCCTTGGTTGGCACTCATCTCCTGCCCCCAGCCACCGACAGTGCCAGTGGTATCTGCAGGAGCTCCCCAGGTTACCACCGCCACACTCCTGCTGCCACCGTGCCCCCACCAGCCGCCAGGGGCACAAGTCATTCATGCCTCTGACCCTAACCCAGAGACTCTCAACAGGCCTATCTCCAGTTTCAAACTGGAGCTCCAAGCAATCATATGGCTCTTTTACATAAAGTGCCACTTTTACATAAAGTGCCTCCTCCTCTTCTCCCCTGCCTGTCCTTCCTGAACAGTTTGTACCCATCCATGACAGTGCTCCAGTCATGTGAGCTATCCCACTGAGTCTTTGTTATTCCAATCACATCATAGTTCCATGATTGTGCAAGGACTTCCAGTTCTTCTTGCTTGTTTCCCAGGCCCCATGCATTTGTATACAGGCACCTGAGGTAACTAGTTGATTGCTCTGATTTCTCAGGAAGTATGAGCACCTCCTCTGTTGCCCCCTTCTGCTTGCTCATTTACCTCAAGGCTTTGATCTCCATCCCTCGGTGAACCTAATTTAAAGCTCTCCTCACTAAACTAGCAAGCCTGTCTGCAAAGATGTTCTTCCCTTTGTCAGATAGCTCGCATCTCTTCCCAGCAATCCTTCTCCTTAAAAGAATATCCCATGGTCAAAGGAGCCAAATTCCTGCTGGCACCATCACCTGCACAGCCAGGTGCTGATCTACAGGATGCACCTGCTCCTGCCCAGGCTCTTTCCCCTGACGAAAAGGATTGATGAGAGCACAACCTGAGCCCCAGACCCCATCACCCTTGCACCCAGAGCCCTATAGTCACTTTTTATATGCTCAGGGTCTCTCCTGGAAGTATCATTGGTTCCTGCATGGATGAGCAGTATGGGGTAGTAGTCAGAGGGCCAGATGAGCCTCGGTAATCCCTCTATGACATCTTGGATCCAGGCAAGCAGCAGACCTCCAGAGACAACAGGTCAAACTGGCAGATGGATCCCTCCATTCCCTGCAGAAGAGAGTCTCCAACCAGCACCACCTGTCACTTGTTCTTGGTGGCGGTCATGTTAATCAATGTTCCCTCTAAGGAGTAATGGTCTGTGAGCGCACTGCCTTAGTCCGTGAGCGTGCCACCTCGGTCCAGCATGGGACACTTACTGAAGGGGGATGAGGGCTGGGGCCTGGGGGCCAGAGGCTAGAGCTGGGGGCTGGAGCTGAGTGGCTAGGA